GACTCAAGATTGGCAGAACCTATTTTTATTTTCATACAGCACACTTCATATCTCAAAAACTGATGAACCGAATTTATCCTTGACACAAAAGATTAAGAATAACTGTGCTGTAAGCTCCTCGCCTTCTCCCGCACCTCTAATCAAACATGATGCCCCTCATAATCGCAAAAAACTCGTTGAAAACAAAATCTGTGACGGAGATTCGCCTTTTGTTCTCCAATGACGTGCTATCACCAGATACCCCTGACACCCTTCAGGCCTTACGGACAAAACATCCCCCAGCTCCAGCAAACCCATATTTTCTCGACCCACCAACAGCAGGGCAAGCATGCCTTCAAATTCAATACAAAGATGTTATGGATGCCATTTTATCTTTTAATCCAGGTTCGGCTGCAGGTTTGGATGGAATCTCACCCCAACATTTGAAAGATTTAACATCGCATTCTGTGGGTAATGCAGGCGAGCAACTTGTAAATTCGATCACTAAATTAATCAACTTTATGTATTCCGGTAGTGTCAATCCAGAAATTGTTCCTATTCTTTTCGGCGCGAACCTCATTGCCCTGACCAAAAAGGACGGAGGGGTGAGACCAATTGCTGTTGGATCAACACTACGACGTCTGGCCTCCAAAATTGCTGTTCGACATATTTTACCAAAACTAAATTCGGAATTTGAACCCGTACAGTTAGGCTTCGGTGTCAAAGGAGGGTGTGAGGCAGCCGTCCATGCCCTACGCTCCTTCCTAACTTACGGGCAGCCTGACGTGTTGCTCAAAATTGATGTCAAAAATGCATTCAATTCGGTAAATAGGGATACCCTGCTGACAGAAATAAAACAACATATACCGGAAATATACAATTATCTTCTTCTCAGTTACGCCGACCCAACAAAATTGTTATATCGTTCTAATGAACTGTCCTCGGAAGTAGGTTGTCAACAGGGTGATCCCCTTGGGCCTGCAATTTTTAGTTTGGCTATAAATCCGATAATCAAAAATTTAAATTCTAAATTCAATGTTTGGTATTTGGACGACGGAACCCTAGGAGGTGATGTGGATACTGTGTTTTCGGACCTTTTTTTAATCAAAAATAAATTTGAAGCCATCGGTTTGGAGCTTAATTTTAGCAAATGCGAACTTTTTATAAATAACAACGACTTAAATTTAAATGACGTTAAACAAAAATTTAATATTTTAGCTCCAAATATTAAAATAGTTAACAGTAATTCCCTTTACCTTTTAGGTTCTCCAATTTTTGATGAATCTATTTCTGAATATATTAATAATTCAATTAATAAATTTCAAAATTCTGCCGACCGTCTCTTTGAAATTAGTCCACATTATGCACTTTGCATCTTGAAATTCTGTCATATTGTCCCAAAATTTACGTATGTGCTCCGTTGCTGCTCCTTTTGGAATCACTTAGATCTTTTGTCACAATTAGACGACTTAATCAAAATTAACTTAGAATCGGTTCTTAATATGCAGCTGAACGAGCAATCTTGGACCCAAGCATCCCTACCCATCCGTTATGGTGGTTTAGGGATTCGCAAAATTTCCAGTGTCGCTTTACCAGCCTTCCTATCTTCTGTCCATAGTTCAGCAAATCTCATAAGTAAAATTTTAATGCTGGCTTGGAAGAAGCTAGAAACGCTTTCTTAATTGCATGCCCAGGTCAAAATTTTCCAGTTTCTCCAAATTCACAGAGGAGCTGGGACGACATAAATTGTAAATTAACTTATAATAACCTTTTGAGCTGCAGTACAGGTTCGGCGCGTGCTAGGCTTTTGGCCGTGGGTACGCATGAGGCCGGCTACTGGCTTCACGCGTACCCTTCGACAAATACAGGCACATTTCTTGAGCCTGACACACTCCGAATGGCAACCTGTCTACGGCTTGGGGTCCCGGTCTGCGCTCCTCATAAATGTCCCTGCGGCAGTGATGTCGACAAGCTAGGACATCATGGACTGTCTTGCCAAAAAAGTGCAGGCCGCTTCTCGAGATACGCCGCACTTAACGATATCATACGCCGGTCCCTTGCCACCGTCAACGTGCCAAGTCTACTTGAGCCAACTGGTATTGCAAGAGACGATGGCAAGAGACCGGACGGTATGAGTTTGATTCCATGGAAGATGGGTCGGGTGCTAGTATGGGATGCAACCTGTTCAGACACGCTGGCCCCTTCCCATCTACATGGAACCAACAACAGAGCTGGTGCGGCTTGTGAAGCGGCTGAAAAAGTTAAGGCAGGCAAATACAGGGGTCTAGGCTCCGAATATGATTTTGTCCCATTCGGTGTCGAGACCCTTGGTCCGTGGGGTCCTAGCGCTATAAGGCTTTTTAAAGAAATAGCGAAAAGATTAGTCGACATCACAGGAGACCGAAGAGCTGGCAGCTACCTCGGACAAAGAATAAGTCTAGCTATCCAAAGGGGGAACGCTGCCAGTATCTACGGAACCTTGCCTAAAGGGACTCCTTTTAATAATGTATTTTAGTTATTATATTTTATTTTTTAAGGTTTTTAGTTTTAGGTTCATTGTTATAGTATATTTTTTGTTTTAATTATTCTTAAATTTATTCATATTGCACCATATTTATATGTTATTATTATGTATGAAATATATTATTGTAAAGTTTCACTAAAATCCATTTAGTATTTTTTGAGTGAAAGAGTAACAAAAATCCATACAAACGTAAGATTGAAATTAAAAGCGAAGTGATTGATACACAAATTTAAATCGTTGTAGATCCTAAACAGTCATATATAATGAAAAATGGTGTAAGAAACCTAAACATGATTTTCGATTATCTAGACAATGATACCCTACTCGACATATTTCGTCCACTTATTTTTTTTACTTCGTCACAGTATGGCGCCTAATTGTCCCCATATTGAGTTTTGATTACTATCATATCTTTAGTAGCACTCCCATGATTAAGACGAATCGATAGACGTATGAATCACCAAAATCGGTCCACGCGTTTGGTCTCTAGTGTGCCACAAAGGAACAAACATACATATATAGACTGTTAAACACTATACCCTGTCTGCGCGTCGCGCTTCGCGCTCTTGCATTGCGCAGTCGGGTAATAAACACTATACCCTGTCTGCGCGTCGCGCTTCGCGCTCTTGCATTGCGCAGTCGGGTAATAATACTTTTATCAGATTGATTATTAATATTTGGTGGTTTAAACAAAATTGCTGTAATGGTAATTATTGACAGAAGAAAACAACAAACAATATAAAAACAAAGCCCCATTAGCACATTAAAGTACCCAGAAAATAAGCTTAATTTTATCTGGAAGTATTAAGTATATCCCGAGGAAAACACATGTAGTGTGCGCAAGGTCGTACGAATAGGTACCTTCCTGTTTCTGTAGATACGTTCCAATAGAATTCCAAAAAATCAAACTAAGTACGAACCTTCGCAGCTGAACCATTGCCCAATGCTGCTTCTCCGTGAGTAACAGTCAAATTCATAACTTACAGACCAAGTAAAAAAAACTTAGTTATCTCTTGTTAGTGTTCGAATATGAAAGGAGAATGGTCATTTTACTATGGGAGTTAGGCTAAATTTTTTTTTCATTGCGTCTTATTGGAATATGTGTTAAACAATAGAGAATCAGGTGTATATTGCGTAGGCAAAATATCATTAGAAAATTAAGTGGTGCTTTAAAGAAAATATTAAATTACGTAAGCATTTTAAGGTTATGTCATATTTAGACTCGATTAAATTCGATATTTATACCATTCTTAATTATTGCCAGGTATACTACTTTAAACTGTATTTAATTAGGTTGTGACCTTTTGTCTTCGATTTTGGACTGGGAGTTAACAAAAATTGAACGCACTTCGTAAAATCCTATCAACGGACAGCGTATATTCGTAAACTGTTGCGTTGGTGAGCTGCTACCTATCTCTATTTATTCCAAACAGCTCAGATTCAATAAATGTGGCGTTGATAAGGTGCGTTTATATGAGTGCTATTTATACTTATTCTCTTTACGCTCAAGCTGCACCTTTGATGCTTTGTCAACCCAACAATGGATATAATACATATTATTTAAGGTTTAGGAATCAAAAATAGAAAAGACAAAATATTTTAACAATGTTACTTAATTATTTATTAATAACACATTTATCCAAATCGACATTATACATAAACACTGCCAGCATTTTCTTATGTAACACCAGATGCCATTGTAAACAAAAATAATTGCAATAAACTAAGAGTCCAAATATATCTGTCACAGAATCACTAAAGGACAATGCCGTGTCCAATTCTCCCTTTCCCAAAAAATAGTTATTAACGGAGGATTACTCAACTCAACATTAGAACTATTCTGCCACAATAGACCACTGAAAACACAAATTCAATTCAAAAGTGAAAACTGTATGTAGTAAGTCACTCGAAACAAACAAACACAGTAGTAGTAGTAGTTTAATTTCGTCCATTGGGACAGGACAAACAAACACAACTAATACTGGAAATAGAAGTTGACAGCTACGTTCACTTGCTTATGGTATATTTCGATTCGATTCTATAGGAATCGATATCCTGCACAATCGATTTATAAATGTTTTATTTTTCAATGCAAATGCTTTAAATGTTCAAACCATGAGTTAATTTATATATGATTAAGTAATTATATATAACATAACTGATAACTTAAACAAAAATATATTCCCTTTTTTAATCTAAGAGTACTACTGCATACAAAAGTTATTGTATGCGATCTACCTATTTTGATGAACAAAATAGTCCGCAGAAAAAAATCCTCTTTTGCGCAGCCCATTAAGTTCCTTTTAGTTTTTTAGATGCAATGAAAGAGAGCAATCCCTGGTACAGTGAGATAGTCACAACACAGGTCTTACAGACGATAACTTTATGAATTTAATGTTATATAACTTGATATAATATTGGTAAAAATGCTCGTATCCATCATACAAACATTTGCCTCACCAGAATTTGAACCCAGGCCATCTGAATAGGCGATTTGGGGAAAATAATCCATCCATCCATCCATACAAAAATCAAACAACTTGCATCGAAGACCATAAAGTAAAAAATGACTACGAAATACCGAATGATCACGGGGATATAAGCAAGAGAAAGCAGTGCGCGTGCACATTTTCTTTCTCTCTTCCTCTCATATCCAAATACAATCCGTATCCAAGCACAGTGCAGGCCTATTGTCTGTATCACAGTGTAGGAACAAGAGAGGGCAGTGCGCGCGCACATTTTCTTTCTCTCTTTCTCTTACAGCTAGAATATAAAAGAAGTTTCACTTCAGTCGTGTGGTCATAAGCACACTCGTGTTTTTTTGTATAGAATATTTAAATAAAGAAATATAATCGATTTTGTTTCCTATGATAGTATCCACTAGGTGATACAACTTTTGCCTATGGTTATATGGTCTATTCTGTGGTTGAATTTTTATTCAGTTTAATCGCCATTTATTTCTTATTTTAAAAATCCGCTTAATATTTAAATAATAATCACACATATGAAATGATAATTCAGGAGAAGATTTTTGATACTTAAATGCGTCAAGCGCAATCTAGACGGATTGGCCCATTCTCCAGTCAGTTTGGTTTGATCGGGCCTATTTGATCAAGCCAATTGATCAAGCGGCAGGATGATAATAAAATTAGAATATACATAGCGAAAAGCGCACACAAATTTTCTATCAAAGATATTGTAATTTATGTCTGTGCTTATTATATTCCCGATCACGATCATGATGGTGCGGATGAGGCCTCTTGAAATTGATTTACTAATTTCAACACACGAATTGATTTCTAAATAACTAATGGAACGCTGACATTTGGTTGTAAAACTTCTTGCATTTTTTTATAAGGAAATACAATTTCTATGCGACTTTCGGAATTTATATAAGCAGTGAACATTGTTTGATATCCAGTTACTTGTTGACGCAATAATTTACTTTTATTCGCTTCTGACGTATTGTTTCGCTTACAATAGATTAATGTTTGTTAATGTTCGCGCCTATTAAAGTACAGAGCGCGGCCATGCAGTTGCAGTGAACTTAGGTACTTCTAAGACTATTTAATAAAGTGTAGTTCTTAAATCTGCGGGCAGGGTCAGCCAGTGCATTCTTGCCGCCCTAGGAAAAAGTGTAAAATGAAACCCTGTTCGGGTTGTTTTTTTTAAGTTTCGTCAAATGATTCCATCTCACCTGATGTGAAGTGGCGGTGGAATTCATATGCGAAAATAGCTGTTACAGCAGTTTTAGCTGCCACACCAGCGATACTCACCTTGTTGGTCTGCAAGTTGCTTTTTCATAGCTCTTTTTAGAGATCCCGTTGTAAATAGGAGGGAACACGTGAGTGGGCAAAGCAATCCGTTTACAGATAGTGTGAAAAAGAAAGGAGTCACCAAAGTTAGTTCTTTGCGTTAAAATGGTGGCCACAGTAAATCAGAGAAAATATGCGCCAGCGGGCGGGGTCCTCTGAAGGAAAGGGGAAGGTAGGATAAGGAAGAATAACTCTTCAAAATACTCGACGTGGTATAGATAAAGCGCTTAATGACGCCATATCATGGACAAAACAGCAGTTCTCTGCCAGATTTGTCAAAAGTTGAGGCACTGGAATCAGACTCTAGAAATACATATATGAGAAAGAGAAAAGTACCTAATGATGATTTAGGACAGCAATTTACCGAGTTTGAAGAAGATGTTATCGGCTTATTGAAAGAATTTGGAAAGTACCAAGATGTTGGTATTAGTTTAATTAAAAACGATATATCATTAATAAAGAAACTACTTGTGGAAATTAAAACTACTATTCAACATTTGGTAAAGGAAAACAGCTATCTAAAGACTCAAGTTGTAAACTTTACTGATATAGTTGGTTATGTACAGAAACAAATAACAAAACTAAAAGAAGAAATACACACTCTTAAAAAATAGCAAAACTGACAGTACTCCGTCGGAGATTGCAAGTGATGTTTTGTATGAAGAACTTATTACTGAGATCCAAGAGCGCAAAATATAGGAATACACTTGTAAAAGGTATTCCAGAGCAATATTTAGAAAATTTAGAAGAAAGAAGAAAATCCGATCGATGTGAAGTGAATAAAAACATTAAGATTCTTATACGGAAATGTCCGAAGCATTGTCAAATTAGGAAAACTGAATGAACTTCGGTGTATTATAAAATCATAATACACCGAATGCAACATGCATTGTTGTTCCAAATGATAATAATAATTTATTAATTTCATGGTGTGACTTAAATATTTCAAATTTTAATTTAACTTATATTCAACCACAATTACATTTTAATTAAAGCGTTGGTATCTGCACTACCTTAAATTATATGGCAGGTATCAGCGCCTTCCCATAAATAAATAGTACATTTAATAATTTCATGCAAGCAGAATGTAATCTTTAAAATAATCATAACTACGCCTAGCAAAGACTAGTTCGGTGTGGTACAGTATTGCAAATATGAACTCGCACTGCCGGATTTAGGGGAGGGCAACCGGGGCGAAAGCCCCGGGGCCTCCACAAACGGGGGCCCCCACAATAGACACTTCGGAAAAAAAAATCGAAATCATCAACGATTTTTCGGCGAAAAAAGCTCGAAAGGTTCCGTTCGTTAACTCTAAGATTTAATTTCAGATACTTCTTGTTTCCGTTTATATTTATATGTGTTTGTTCAATACTAAGGGAATCTACTTGGTTCACAACAAATTATTTTTATGATTTTATTTTTAAGCATTTAACTGCTAGATGTTTAAATCTAAAGAAAAGTTTACTAGAAGAAATCCACGCGGACCAGGCAGCGGACGGGACTCGAACCCGCATCCTTCGCAATCCGGGCGAATGCACTGACCATTATGCTACCAGGGCCCTATTAGCCGCGTCGAAATTTTCCTAGCCTTAAGCTGCAAGGCAGCGCCATCTCTTCGCATTGTAGATAACCCACAGCATAATGGTCAGTGCATTCGCCCGGATTGCGAAGGATGCGGGTTCGAGTCCCGTCCGCTGCCTGGTCCGCGTGGATTTTTTTTCTAGTAAACTTTTCTTTAGATTTAAACAAATTATTTATTAAAAAACTCGACTGAAAAAAATGTTTACTTTATTTGTCAAATAATTTGGGGTGAGGGGGCCTCCGCTCCTCTGTTGCCCCGAGGCCTCTGGACCTCTAAATCCGGCCCTGTGAACTCGTCTCCTGTATCTATTTTCGTCTTCGTGATACGGGGTTGCGAATGTTTGCGAAGCACGACATCTAATTTAGAACCGTTAAAACTTGAAATTCCTTGTAAATAGCTACAGTAGGATAAACGATTTTCTTTTTTAATATTGTTTTAATAACAGCTCTTCGGGCTCTTTCTACTTTTATTAGTGTTGTTTTGGAAGTTGCACCCCAAGCTAAATTACAGTATGATATGAGTAACTGAACTAAACAATAATAAATAAGCTTTAAAGTATTGAGGTTCGCTGAAGTTCTAAGTTTTTAGAATACAAATAGGAGTTTCCTTTTTTTGTGGCTAGACTATCAACATGTGGTTTCCAGGAAAAACAACTGTCGATTTGGATATTCAAAAATCTTATGTGAGGCGTTCTTTCCAAAACGCAGCAGTTACAAATTCTTGCGTTGGAGCAAGTATGCGCCTTTGTGTTGTGTTGTGCTATTTTAAAAACAGCATGCAAATCGTATGGAATACAAAAAAAAAGAAGTTAATTACAACATTTTGCTACAGAATTATGGATGTCAAAGATTTATTAGTTTCTTAATATTGCCAACAAAATCTACAAAGTCACATAATAATATTTCAAGGCTTCAACGTGTCAAATAAACACACAATCATTTACTAAAAAAACGAATAATACAAATACATTAAAACGGTTTGAAGCAACTTCAACAACAGCGGTTTTAAAAATAATCAATGGGTTAGACCCAAACGCGAGCTCAGGTGTCGTCGTTATAAGTACCAAAGCCTATATTGACAAACACAAATTATTGCTTTGGAGGTATTTATTGGCTTGAAAATAGCATAAGTTACGGTTAGTCATAAAATACTATTATCAAAATTAAAAGCCATTGGTGTTGAAGATTTGGCTCTTAAAATTTTGAAATGTATCTTAAAAATAGACATCAAATTGTTCAGATTGGCATGGAGCAGAGTCAGTCTGAAACTATTGCTTGTGGTGTTTCCCAGGTGTCTATTTTAGGTCCGCTATTGTTTCTTATTTATATAAACAATGTAAAAAATAGGCCTTCGAGGTGACATATTCCTATACGCAGATGATACTAGTCTCTTTTATTCTGGTTATTACATCGATACAGAAATAAACCAAGCACAAAATGATTTGGATATCGTTAATACTTGGCTACAATATAATTTATTTACTATAAATATCCTAAAAACTAAATATATGGTTTTCGCTCCTAAGAATAAAAAGATAACTAACTTATAACTATATTATTGGAAACCACACATAGACTCGATTTGTAATAAACTAACACCCTTAGCCGGGGCTCTGAGGTGCATGGCTGGTTGTCTTCCTAAAAACGTAAAGTACCGTATCTATAACTCTTTAATTAAAAATAAACTAGAATATTTAATTGAAGTCTGGGGATCCAAAGCAAATACACATCTGAAAAAAATACAAATTAAGTAAAATAAAATAATTATAATCCTCTTTAAGTATGACTACTTTATACCTACTGAAACAATGTACTTAACTAAATTGATGAACATTTCTCAAATATATAAATATAATACATGCATTTATATTAGAATAATAATGTCGAAAGATGTGCAAATTTAAATCACATTAACTAAAAATACCTTAAGTAGTACCACCATAAACGATCAACAAGACAGGCTGATAATATCTGTCTGAATATACCCCGTACAAACTACGTAAGAAAATTAACTTTCACGAGGGAGTTCAATGTTACAACAAATGACCAAAAAATATTTTAAGGACGGGTTTTTCTCGAAAGCTAAACCATTTTCTGCTGATTGATGTGTATTGTACTGCAGGTGAGTCAGTATTTTCATAGCTAAGTAATTCGCAATTATTGATTTAGCAGTTACTATGAAAAAAATAATAGTAGGTAGATAATTATGAAAAAATTACGAATAAGTAGATACATAAGAAGTTTTTTACTTAAAATCATTTGTTTATTCGCTGACGGAGTAGTATACCTACCATAACGAAAATAAATATTAACAAGATATGAATCGGCCGTTATCGATGATAACCACAGTTCAGAACCGTGATTTATTTATCGTAATTAGTTTAACGTCACACAAATCCCGTCTTTCGCAGAAATTGCTTTAGTGTAAATACCTACCTAATCTAAAAAAAAAACGTTTATACTGTGGAATTTGGTTGCCATCGTCACTGAAATCAGTCTTTTCCGTGGTATGTAGGTATATCATGTTATATTTTTATTTTTTAAGCATTTAACTGCTAGACGTTTAAATCTAAAGATTTTATTTTTACTAGAAAAAAATCAACGCGGTGCAGGCAGCAGACGAGACTCGAACCCGCACCCTCCACTATCCGGACGGATGCACTGACCAATTATGCCACCGCGACCCTGATGGCCGTGTCGAATTTTCCCTAGTATTTTTTTGCTGCAAGGCAGCGCCATCTCTTCGCATTGTAGGTAACCCACATGGTCAAACGAATACCTATACGAGCATTAAACATTTGAAAGAAGAAATAGCAATTGTAGTTATATTTTTAAGTATTTAACTGCTAGATGTTTAAATCTAAAAAAAATATCCCACCTTCCCCCGTCCTTCGGAGGACCACACGCCTGCTCGAGCTTCCTGTGTCAACGATTCCAACACGAACAAATGGGCGAATCATTTCTTTGTCGTACCTACTATTCGCAAGTTGAGTTCTTTACCTTTTTTTTTTTTATTACGCAGGTAAAAAATCTTTTTACAGACGACGGCGCCTCTAAGGGGCACACCGCCGAACGGACCTCACACCTGGCTCCCGCAAGTCTTACGAACCCCCCCAGTGGATGCCCACCTGTGACCCCGCAACTCTTACGGGCGCTTTACGGTATAATATCCGCTAAAAAAGTCCTGCGAATACCTTCACTACTGCCTGATGCGGTGCCGCGGGATCCCCACTGGTGGGACTTCTCCGCGTCCCCGCACCTAGCAGCTTCCCGGCCTCGCGGGGCTCCACGGCAGGGGTCTCCCGCGGTATTAGTTGAGTTCTTTACCTGCGCACGTGTTCCCTTCTTCTTACAAACAGGGGCCTTTGGCGTGCAGAAGCATTTGTGCAGGCCGGCAAAGTGAGGAAGTTGGTGTGGCAGTTCAAAACTGCTGCATCATCTGATGCATAAAATACTAATCTTCGCGTCTGGATTTTACAACCACTTAACATCAGGTGCGTTAGTTATTTTTCTACCTACCTATAAAAATACAATTTGTAATCTAAAAGTTAGGTTCTATTAAGGATCTATTACTATTCATTGTTTAAAAAAATACTGATTCCTTTTTGCGTTTCGTGCTGGTTCTTTTTCACTGTCCATACTACTAGTAAAAAGGTTTAATGTTTACGACTACATATTTTGAATCACGTTTTATCATTTTCAGTTATCGCGTTCCGGTACTTTTTACTATTGAGACGTGTCGTGACGACTGTGATTTCGAGTGACTAATAAATACCATAATTATCTGACTACTTACCTGGAGAGGATCATTACACCTCCTTACCGTAGGTACTCGGTTCGCATTCACCGAGCTAATTGCAGTAATATCCAAGTAATAATCTTAGCAAAGATATTTACAAAATTTATATGATATAGCTAATATTATAAGCTGGTTGTCAATGAGACTTTAAATAAACTTTTGCCGCTTAAGATTAGATACATTTATGAAGGCACAACTAACGATCCGCCCCGGATATGCACGGTTGTAATTTACTTTTACTCGTCTAAACACCATAAGTATTAATTAAAGATAATTTTATTTCATGAATAAACATATCATTTAAATAAGACAATTAACATGATGGAAGCATTTATCGATACCATATTAATCGTCTTAGTCCAGTAGGACCACGGGTGTACATAGTGGTATACCGTGGTCCCACCAGTAGGACAAACTGGTGGGAGCACTGCGGGCCCTTAATCATATCATGTCACTCAGGCAGGAATAATGTTAACTTTCTACTGGTAAAAGAATTTACAAAATCTGTTCAGTAGTGAGTTTCAGAGATTAATGCGTACAAAAAAAACAATCAAACTTTTCCTCTTTAGAAAACATTAATTTGAATTATGTCTGCTCAGAATAATCGGTTCCACATACAAACTATTATTTTATTTTATTGGTCCAAATTTACCTTCATTAGAATCATCAAAATCTAACAACAGACAGACAAACAGAGTTCCTTTTGCATTTATAATATTGTAACGTACATATATAGAAATATCAAAATTTGTTCGACCGACATGCTCCAAGTCACTCGACCCAATCACACATATAAACGATGTTAATAAATTATATCTGTTTTATAATTTGCCCGCACATCAATCATTTCATTTAAATCATGCGATAATGCACATAATAAGGATTAGAAAATAAAGTTATTTAAAGGACAATGGGCAAAAAACACCCAGCTCCGCCAACAATGTAATTATTATGAATCAAAAGATCTATGAAAATTAGCCTTTTTTATTATGCCACCGTAAAAAAATATCCTGGTAATCGAAAGATATTATACCACATGGGTATAATTAAGTAGCTAAATAA